ACCATTTTACATTTTTATTAGTAAATATACATTTCTGATGAAAGTCTAACTCTTTAGCCTGTTTAATTCATTACTAATAACCTTTAATTATGTAAACATTAGCTTTGAAAAAAGAACAAGCTACCAGGAATAAGGAACCAGGAATAAAGAAACTGAGAATAAGGAACCAACTGAAAAAAAAGAACGGGGATTCTGGATTTGGAGTCCCTGCTTAAATGCTCCTGTTCTGAAGCTTTAGTTTGAAAGACACCATCCCAAATCAATAAATAGAGCATAAAATCAGGAGGAGTGGAATGCAAGCTTCCTTGCCCAATCCCACCAATTTCAGCCTTGTTACTGATACCGGGGTAGTAAATTAACAACCTAAGTCAGGGATCCCCATTATTCTGTATCTGTACAGCATCTAGTACAAGGAGGAGGCATCTGTCCTAAAAAACGAAAGTATTGTCTCTAGCAATGAGAGCAGGACTATTTCCTACAGATCATTCAACTGCTGATGTGTCTCAACTAGTAGTGAAAAAAGCATGCTCATTTCCAACTTCAGTAAATTGAGATCTGGGAAGTTGAAGTCTAAGTACTCAACAGCAAATAAAATTGTGGGCCCCAAAACTGGACATCCAGTGATAACTTTAAATAACTGGTCTGGAGGTACTGAAGGAGTGACCTACAAAGGATCAGTGATCCCAGCAGTCCCCTCTTTAAACTTGAACTCATTCACACTTGACTCTTACTTGGGTTAACACTTTATTACTAGTATTTTTCCAAATCAAATATCCTTTACCGCTTGATTATCTCAAAGATTTTTTTTTGTGATGCATGTATTCAGAAATACAAGTTTTAAGCAACCCGTTGGCATTATGAAACAAATATACAAACTTTTATTTAAATAAAATAGCTCAAAGATGACAATAGTTTAGGCCATATTTAAAAGAAGGCCATCCAAAAATGAACAAAAGTGGTAGTTGCTTTACAAATATGGCCACATACAGCATATTTTCATATTCATTAATAGCAGCTGAAGTTATACACATAGATAGTTCTTAATACCATGCAAGTTCAGTTGAGGTCCATACATTCATTATAAATCTTCACTTATGTTCATGCCAAAACACCTTTGATAAAAAAGGTAAGAAAGGAGAAGATTTAAACATGGCCAAGAATAAAGAGAGAAAAAATATTTTAAATAAGTACCAGCAACTCATTGTTTATTAAAAAGATTCTGGCACTCCACCTGTTTAAGCATATATGCCTTCTTCGTTCTCTGTAAGTGGCAGTTAGTAGTGTTAAGCATTGTTAAATATCAAAAAATACAACTCTGTTTTACAACATAGTACTGGCATAATTCAAAGTACTTGTGCCAATTATAAATAGTATAATCAAGTTCTGAAGAGTTTTGTAATGAAAAGCAACACACACACATATACATATGCACACATATTCATGTAACAAAATTTATAAAAGCAAACAGGTTTGCCCCACCCCAAGCTGTATGACTCAAGTGGGATTCAATACCCATTCTGGAGACTTGGGAGTTCATGGATATATATATGTATATATTAAGTCTCTGGAAAAAATAAGACAAAAATTTACTTTCACCAGAATACACATCACTTTATCATTCTTCACTGACAAACAATCCATTTCTCAGTCGTGACTGACATGAGTTGGTCCTTATGAAAGTGACTTTGTTTGACGACCTTGCAAATAAAAACTGGTCCACAAGCCTTTATAAAAATTCAGTCAGCTGCTGCTCAATGCAGAATAATCCTACACGTTGCTTCTATCTAGAGTAATCTTCATTATCTGTTGTCCGTAATCGTAGACAGTCACATCTTCCACTGTGACTCAATGTGCAGCTACAAGTAGAGAAGTGCTTAGATACTCAATCACTTCAAACATACTTGTTGAAGCTTGCTTCTAGTGCATAATTTAAGTTCAAAATCTTTTCCCCTCTCATAATGGTTTGTCAATAACTGTAACACCTAGAGTGAGAGAATCATAAAGGCAGCATATTAGAGGGACTTAATTTAAAGCTTCTGGAACTCAAATGCTATACCGTGTATCAATCAGTATCACAGGACATTAACATTATTATGTTATCACATTAACATTACATAATGCATAATTTTGAAAGTTATTAGGCTTTGAGAAATACCACTCAGTTGTATCATCACTAACATGATACCTATATAAAGAACCTGTTTGGGAAGTTGTCTGTGCCTGACTAGATCCTTTTAAAAAGGGCTCAGTTGCATGTTTAAGACATCTAAAAACCAGGCTCCTTTAACACAAGAGTCTAAGGATCCAAACATTGAGACATCCAAAATTAGTGGTCTTTTCTGAGCATGCTGACCAGATTGTAACATTTTTGGCCTTTCTACCTCTCTCAGATCCTAAAACAAATGTTCGGTGAATAGTGAGAAAAAATTCTGCTATAAAAAAGAGCGGTATGAAAAATCTGATTAATGCAATACTGGGTTTCTAAATGAAATTGGAATATATATACACACACACACACACACACAACATTTCTGAACTAAAACTCATTACCTTGATTTGATATGTGTCAATGTAGTGCACATGTGTGGGCATGGTGTGGGTAGACTGATAGATATATATCAGTCAAGGTAATGAGTTGTACTCTGGAAATTTTGCTCTTTGGGTGCTTTTTCAGACAACTTCACCCCAATGTTTTACTTTTAAAATTGATGTAAAAAGTTTACCTGCATAGCTCCTTCCTGTACTCATACAGGATGACACAACTGTCCATTTATCTGTTGTTGGGTTATAATATTCCACTGTTGATAAGTTACAGGAACCATCATCTCCTCCAACTACATACAACAGACCGTTTATCGCACAAACCCCTAAGAAAGATGAAAGACTTTACAGCAAAACATATTTACAATGCACAGCAATTTGCTTACATAGTGAAAGCACGCCTTTCATTTTGAGATTTCAGCAAAGGAGCAGAAATGTTAAGTGGTAAACACAAGGGTGCAAACACATTATTAGCATTGTAAAGCAGAATAAACTCTATTACCTACTTCTATAAAATCTAGTACTTACCTGCATTCCTTCTGCACATGTTCATGTCTGCAACCTGCTTCCATGTACCAGCAACAGGATCATACACTTCAACACTTTTTCTAACCAAAGGACCATCATGACCACCTACTGCATACAATAAATTGTTTAACACACCAACACCTGCAAACATATAAAAATACTCATTTTTTAGATTTATATGCCACCTTATTTATCTTAATAGAAAATCAAGTCTTTAGCTTATTTTTCAATAACATTTATTTTCCTCAAATTAAAAAAATAACAAAAGGTAGTCAATGATATTTACATTATCCTTTTCATAGGATCATAGAAATGTTGGGCTGGAAGGGAACTCCGTAAGTCATCTAGTCCAACGCCCTGCCTGAGGCCGGATCATCTCTATCCAAACAACTCCATAACACTTTGGCTAGTTTATAATCTGGTGCTTATTTCCAAGATACCTATACTTAGTTAGAAATGGTTCATGAAACACTAAGTGATGCTGTATTAAGAATCCAGACATTTTCACTCTTGCAATTTTGGCTTAAAAAAATCAGAATTAGCTAGAATCACAAGAGGCATATGCTGGACACACTGTAGAGGGAATGTTTTAATTTTAAAATTAAGAAGTTGTAAATTCCTACTAAAAACAAATTATTTCAAATTTAATTTAAATTAAAAGCCAGTTCAAGGATGGTAAATGAGGACAATACATACAACTGAAATAACTTTGGAAAAATCTAGCAGTGTGTACTAGAAGTGCTTGCTATATCTGGTCAGTCAAAAAAGATATTGCTGCAAATATCAAGTGCAGTAACACTGTTCCCCATGGAAACTGAAAGGGCATTGCTAGAAACATGATTAAGTTTAAACAGTAACACATCCAAAGAAACTAGAAATACGGACAAGAAAACAACAAAATGCTGGGGTGGGGAGGGGAAGGAGTGGGCCCTTGTAAATACCCTAGAAAAACAAAATAAGTGTAATGAATTGAAAAACATCTGGAATAGTAGAAGAACAGGTGACAGTTGTTGCTAGCCTTGGTCATTTTCAGGGGGCCTAAGACAAGCTGCATAAGTGTGACTATGCAGAAAGTCCCAAAAGCCTGTTTCTTAGTGACCATAGCACAAACCTTTGCAGATGTGACTTAGCTTACTTAGCTTGGTCAGCGAAGTAAAGGAAGCCATCAGCATGTCTAACTAAACCAGTTATGAGATGCAATTAAAGCACAAGGTCTGAAGGGAGACATTATAAGGGAAGACCATAAATTAAATCATTCAAATATATTACATTATATTTTTATCTTAAAATACAAGTAGTATTGATTAAATATAACCAAACGTATTAGATTCCATTTTGTTATAATAGATATATTTTTGTGTTAAGATGCTTAGATAATTTGTAAAAGCAAAAAACAGCTTTGTCAGAGTGAACTAAGGTAAAGAAGAAACAGAACACTGTTGAACAGCACACAATGGGGGAGGAAAGGAGATAAGAAACCCTTCCTTTTACTTTCCCAAGGATATAAATCCCAACTAACTGACACCTTCCAAGTCTACAAGAGATATGGTTCAGTTCCAAAAGTTTCAGTGAAACAAATACATTTAAATTAAATCAATGTGAGGTCATGTATTAGAATATTAGAACCAGCCATTTATAAATACAGGGTATAGGCTGGAGAGAAATTTGGAGAACTTGGCAAATTCAGAAAAAACAATCTGCATGAGACCCTCCTGCTACCTCTCAATTCTCCCCAGCCAGTATAGATGCGAATCTATGTTGTGTTGTCAGGGGTAGCCAGACAGACTTTGGGATAAATGTTTGTTTTTGTGTTTTGAAGTGCAAGCAAATAAAAGCTGGGGATGTAGACCTGTATCAGTAGCCAAGCCACAAAGTTACCTATAATCTAAGTAACTCCAATGAACAGCAAACAAGATTTGGGTACACAGTGTAGGCAGGAGACAGAAAATGCTGAAGTAATTTTGGAGCTGAAGTATTATTTCATGAACATGAAGCAGGTGTCACCAACATTTTTAATTTTATTAAAAAAACATGCATACTTATAATACTGCATTCAATTCTGGACCCTACAAAAGCGTCCAGTAAGAAAAAATGGAGAGTGTTCAAAGCATAGCAGCAGTAAATGATTTACGAGGGGAAACGGACAGAAACACATACAGCTCAGCTAACTGATAATGGCATGGCAGCACATGATAGCTTAGCTTTCAAGCTATAAACACAAGGTTGTCACAACCCAGTGATTTTGGTGCCTTGGCACGATGGAATTTTCCCGCCACTTGAGCGTCTCTTGCACAACAAAGGTTTTTGTTGTAACAGAAAAACCCCGGTGCAAGAGAGTTCCTGCCATTTTGTATGCAAATTTGTGTCCCACTACTGGCTAGTTCTAAATTATTCCTACGTGGCGGTTAATAATTGGCTTGCTGGCCGTTTAAAATTTCGTGCAACTTCCGCCCAAGTCGGAGAACTTTGAGCATGCTGCAGAGTACTAAAGATATCTGACTTGCGGCTTAGCTGATCGATAGGCTGATCGCCTATTGATTCTTCTTCCCATCGCCGAGCGCAATCCTCGACGTACCCTTTCCCTGCCAGCTTAATACGGATTCGCTGGCCTGAGCCTTGCCAGCTGGAGCAACTCACATAGTTGTTTACGCGATTGGACCACCTGCGTCGCGGCTACAAGCGGCGTAAGTAAAGTTTTTGCAACCACTAAGCTTTGTCCGTCTCTCCATTCACCAGCCCGCCCAGTAAACAAATAGTTTCTAAATCACCTCGAGTCGGCTTCAGCCGGCCGAGACAAAGGTAAGGAAAGGAATTATTCAAGGTGGAATGAAAGGTATGTAAGTAGAAGAATGTAAGAATGAATATGGAGAAGCTTCTTAAGTTTTGTACTTTAAGGAGACCATATTAAGAGTGCAAGAATAAATATCCCCATTCTGATGAAACAGAAGACCAGGAAGTGTAACAGGAAACCAGCCTAACTAGAAAGCAATTTATTCAATGAGTTGCAACTTGAGAAGGAATCCTACAAAGATTGGAAATTAGGTCACAGTACTATAGAAGTGTATAAGTATTATTGTATGGGCATGCAGGGAGAAAAATCATGATGGCCAAGGCATGCTTTGAGGTGCAACTTACAAAGGACTTAAAAAGCAATAAAAAAGATTCTACATGTTAAAAGAAGAAGATCAAAGAAACCACAAGTCCTTTACAGAATGCAGAAGGCAATCTAGTTAGAGATGATGCCAAGAAGGCAGAGATATTTAATGTCTTTTCCTCCCCACAAATAAAGCCTATCCATGAATAGTCAGCTACCACATGACAAGTGCACTTGGCAGCAAATATAGGGAAGAACACAAATGCCATTTAAGAACAGGTTAGGGATTACTTAGGCAAGCTAGATGCTTAAGTTGACAGGGCCAGACAGGACACACCATAGGGAAACCAGGGGTGACACGCATCATTAGCACCGTTAGGTCTGCAAAACATGATTCACATGATAAACCCAGAGATATGAAATGGCAATTCATACTATTAAAAACATTCTGACCTATTGTGGGCTTTCCAAGTTCTCTGCAACAGAACTGTTCTATTATTATTTCCCTTAGGCAAAAATGGTAAAAGCTAAGAACTGAGATTTTCCAAGGGAAGTCTAACAAGGTTGATATAACCACTGCCCTGGAGCGCTAAAGGAACTGGCTGAGGTAATGCCAGAGAGGAGAGGAACCCTTGTTGGCTATCTTCTTTGAGGACTCATGGAGATCAGGTGAGGTTCTGGATGACTGGAAATGGGCAAATATAGTGCCCATTTTCACAAAAGGGAAGAAGGGAAGAGAGTATCTACAGAATTATAGACCAGACAGCCTGACCGTGATACCTGGAAATATCATGGAGCAGGTCTTCAAAGAATCTATTATGAAGCACCTACAGAAGAACAAGATCAGGAACAGCCACCATGGATTCACCAGGAGCAAGTTGTGCCTTACCAACTTGGTTTCCTTTTATTATAAAAGTGAAAGGTTTGGTGCATAGAGGGAAAAAAAGCAGTGGAATGATATACACTGACTTTAGCAAAGCCTCTGATACCATCTCCCACAACATTCTCCTTAACAAGCAAAGAAATACAGATTAGATGAAAGTACTGTAAGGATGACATGTAACTGGTTGGATCATGCTCAACAAGTAGTCATCAACGACTCTGCCTAGCTGGAAGGAGGTATCAAGTGGGGTTTCCCCAGGGGTCTGTCCTGGGTATTGTTTAATTTTTTGTTAACGATTTGGATGATGGATTGAGTGCATGCTTAGCAAATCTGCAGTCCAGGTCCAGTATTGTTCAACCTCTTGACTAATGTTAAAAATGAAGAGACTAAGTACCCACTTAGCAACTTTGAGGGTGACACCAAGTTGGGTGGAGCTGCAAATATTCCAGAGGGCAGAGTGGATTAAAAAAAAAAATAAAAAAAAAATCAACAGATTTTTTAAAAATTTAATCTTTTGTTTTTTGGTTAAGATGCTTTTTAAAAAAAAACAAACTATATAAAGATAGTTTTAATTTAAGATATGTTAACGCTCAAAGATACCCTGGAACAGGGAATATAACTTCAAATTTTATACTACTTGAGACTCTATTGTATTAATAGACTAGTACCTTGTAAATCTGGAGAAGCGATTCAGAGAGCAACAAAAAATATTAGAGACCTGAGAACATGACTTACAAGGACAAGTTGAAAGAACTAGGGCTATTTAGTCTGGCAAAGATACGATTGAGGGGGGATTTGATAACAGTCTTAAAATACCTGTGTCAGAACCCAAGGGTGTGATTTTTGTTTGTGTGCGCTTTGGCACTGCTAAATTATTTCCCGCCACTCGTAGCTTTCTTTGCAGGGTGTGGTTGGATTGCTTGCCGTATAAGAGGCTTGAGCGGTTTCCGCCCAAGTTGGAGGACTCCACGACTATCAGGAGGAGGAGGAGAACTTCACGTCTCGTGAAGATCTCTAAGCGCTGCGGGGCCTATCGGACCCAGCGCGTATACCTCAAGAAGGCTATAGGGGTTTGATCAGCCTCTCCCCGTCGCCGCCTGATCCCTCGACGTACCCTTCCCTGCGCGCAAGTTCCACGGAGCCTAGCAAACTTCGTGTGAGTGTATCCAGAGCTCTGTCCGGGTTCGAGTCCTGCAGGTTTATCTTCCCGTCGCCAAAAACCCATTGCGACATACTCTCGTGTTTTGCATCTTCCCGTCGCCGAAAACCCCCTGCGACGTACTCTCGTGCCCTGCAGGTTCGAGTTTTGTAACTGCAACTCAAGCAAGTTTTCCTGCCTGCACCGCGACCATCTTCGGTGTAAGTAAAATAATCTTTAATCAACCACTAAGCGTCCGTGCCTAATTCTAGCGTGCCGCCTGCCTTCCCCAACCCGGCGTGTCCGGGCTGCTGGCCACAGCCCACCACGCGAAAAACCCCCGAGGGCCTCGGACCGCTCCTGGCCCGCACAACCTGAAAGGTGATTATAGAGAGGACGAAAATACTTCTCTGTAGCTGTAGGGGACAGGACTTAGAACAACGGCCTCAAGCTGCAGCAGAGGAAATTTAGGTCGGAGATTAGAAACAGCTTTCTGACTATGAAAGTAGTGAAGCATTGGAACAGGCTACCTAGAGAAATTGTGGAATCTCCATCTCTGGAAATTTGCACGTGCATGTAAAACAGATACTTGACCAGGAGGTTTAGTCAGGGATGATCTTGCCTTAAGTAGGGGGTTGAACTAGATGACCTCATGAGGTTTCTTCCAGCTCGACTTTCCTATGATCCTATGACCAGTAAGATCAGAACAAATCTGCCAAAGAAATTCATAGAAATGCATTCACTTTTCATGTATAAGGTTAGATCAAAAACTATTAGGAGAATGCTAATCCTTATCTTGTAAAGGAGTAGCATAGCCCCCTTTTTATCTATAATTTGTATGGTTCTATAAAGTTGTTTAAATTTGTAAATTGCTTTAGTTGATACTATATTTGTATTGGTTGTTTTATTCCACTATATTAATATTCAGAAGCCTTAAAGAGTTTGTGGGTAAATACAAATGGTTCAGAATGAGAAAAAAAAGCCCTTTATACATTTGCTATTTCCAGACTGAATCTTATTGTATTACAGTTTTGAATTTATAATCTACAGTATACTCATCATGTGTATACTACAATAAGACCAAATATTCTGAAGCAGTCATTAAGAAATACATTTTGAATTTTTAATGCAATTACATGTGTTCGTTTTATTATGACCATCAATTTTTGTTCACTTACCTGCTCCACTCCGTCTAGTGCTCATTTCTGCAACATAGGTCCACTCATTTGTACTAGCATTATAGCATTCTACTGAACTAAGGCACTGACGTGATGCCCCATCGTAGCCACCAACAGCATACAGCTTACCTAGAAAGACAATAACCAAAAAAACCCTATAGGATATACACAGATTTATCTGAATATATTCTAACACAGTCTGGTGGGTAAGCTGTGATGCGCTATATGCATAGCTATGTGTGGGAACAGGTAAAACACCCAATCCCTCAATTATCTACTAACCATTACTACTTTTCTAAGTTTGAAATTGAGTATGCATGCTTTCCATTTTTAAACAAAGATAGACAACATACTACCCCCTCCAGTCTCTCCTGTTTTAATCTGGTAAAACACTGCATCATTCTACCAACAAATGAATAAAAACATTTCAAGTTGCTGTACTGAAACACAAAGATACCATCCCACTCTGACTTCATCAAAAACTAAACAAAGATGAACCAATCCAAGCATGTATATCCTAGAAAGATAGCTAATGTATTTCTTGAAAGATACTAATCTTTATTGTGATTCTGTCACTTATACGGTTTGATGTATTTTCTGACATAAAACACAACCCCCTATTTTTAGAAGGCTCAGTCATGGATTCACCCCAAAACTGAGTTGCCTTTTGAGTTTCTGCTGTGGCAAACATGAATATTCTCCCTAATTAGATTTACCCCTATGGTGTCTAGCCTCTTTTTGTAGCTTCAGTAAAGATGGTTTTATCATTTTCATATCTGTATGTATAACAGGATTTGATATAAACATATTTTTGTAATTTTGTGATACGACTGGAAGATGATGAAGTGCAGTATTTAGCACACATCCAAGGCACTGTCTTCCTGTAATGGGGGGAAATCAACTCCTCCATAGAAAAGGCACCTGAAAGAAATGGCCCTTCAGCCAGGGGACATTCAGATACCCAGGCGTAACCAGAAAGTTCTAGAGGATTTTGGTGACTCATGAGCCACTAGAATAATGCTGATAATGGACAGCTGGCCTTGGCGGCTTTTTAGTGACAAGCTAGGTCCTTCAGATCTTTTCCAAGCTGGAGAAGGGTCCAAGACTCAAGCTGCCAGGGCTGGTAGGATCAGCAGGAAGGCTGTTCTCTAAAAACACTGGCAGTTCTCTCAGGAGGGGTAGGAGGTAGCCAGATGGGCTGGGGCTGGCAGAGATTCCCTTATAGCCACTGCAGATTAGTGGACCTGTGGCTTGCTGCAAGTAAGAAGTTCTCAGGGCAACAGGTCTGTTCACTGGGGCAAGCGGCAGCACAGTGGAAAGAAACTTAGGGCTCTGAGGGTCCTCCACAGACGGGTTTGTCACAAGCCGCAAGTAGTTAAAAAAAAAAAAAAAAAAAAAAAAATTTCCACTGGAGTATGGGCAAGTATCCTAAGGTCTCTGGGCCTGGAGGCTGTGCACTGGGGCTGGGGACCACATGGCAGGGCCCAATCAAGCACACACTGGCACTGGGCCCACATGCCAGGCCCAGCTCTGTGCTCTGGTTGTGGAGCTGTGCATCAAGTCTGAAACTATGTGCTATGTAGATCTGGTGTAGTGGAGAGGGGGAGTCCACACAGGTCTGGAAGTCTGAAGGACTGGCGAGGGAATAGAAAGGGGCACAATCAAGTTGTGGCAGTATTAACTGGTAGCTCCCAGGGCTGTGTCAATTAATGCTGCTTCTCCTCTACCCCCCCACTCCCCCAAATTCCTGAACCTGTAGGGACCCCTTCTTCTTGCATATAATTAGCAACCCAAATTTCTCCAGCTGGTTTGTAGGGGGGGAAGGGGGGCTTAAGGTTATGTGTGAAAAAATATGGTATATTATCAGATCAGAAACAGCAAGGAGTTCTCATAATTTTAAAACCAAAGTTGCTTAATTGCCATGCTCTATCAATCAAGGCATATTATAGATGTGCTGATGTTTTTAACCACAAGTTGCTAAATTCAGAAGCATCCATTTTATAAATATTGCTCAGCTTCGCTATACCAAACAAAATATTCAATACTTGGCTTCCACATAAAAGTTTCAGTGCTATCACTGCCACACAATGTGTTGTGGCATGTAAATTTACCACCGACATTCCCAATTTGGAGCACTATAAGAAGTTAAATCTGTTGCATGTTTGAACAAATACAAGCTGGGCTGGGTCCCTTTAAGAACTTTATTTACAATTTATTTTATTATATAATCCACAGCTTCTACAACTTCCAAATGACCCTTTAAGTTTTAGACTGCATTCTTTTTTATTCCCAAAACAGATGAACCTAAGTTTACCCTACCAGCATTTTTTAAAAAGAAATGATGTGCTATAATACATCATATCTACTTGCATACCACACATATCCCTTCAACACCCCCCTTCCACCACTTGAGAATGGTGTGTCTCAAGCAAGGAAGCCAATTTTTTTTATTTTTTTATTTTTTAACTAAGACTGAAGCACAGGGACACGGTGTTGTAAACCAGCTTTTCTCTCAGCAAAGAAGAAGGGCTATGTCCAAAGTTTAAACCTTTCACATATGCTCTCAGCTTACCACTTTAAAGAAGCTGGCACTTTAAAGAGGCTGCAATACAACCTCTCCATGAGAGAGCCAACCCTAAGCCATGACTCTGCAAAAAAATCTTTTTTTTTTTTTTTTTTTTTTTTAATAGCCTGCCTTCCAAAAACAAGGCGCACGTCTTATTTGGGGGTGTTTAGTATGAAAAAAAAATGCAGTAATAAAACACAGTTTATATTTTGTTTTAAAACTTGAAGAAAAACAATTTCTAACTGTTGTTCCAATAAGAGTAAACAGGAAATATTAAATGGTTTATTGCTTAAATGACATTTAAGATTTGGCAACATGTGATGCATTTCAATGATGAAAAACATTACTTACTCTCTAGCAGCATTAGAATTGTTATATCCTGCTCACCCAAGGCAGAAAACATTGACAGTAGGTGTCTAGTTTTCATAACTAAGTTAAAAAATATCTATTTATTTCAAATATGGCAGAAATAGTGTAGATGGCTTAAGCATTAGCATTTTCCTCTAAGGGCAGGGATCGTGTTTTTCTGTTTTTTGTCACTGGCTAAATGTGCCACAAACCCATAATTTTATTCCATTCTTGTCTACAATTTTTGAAGATTAACTGAGGCAAAAAGCAGACACTTGTCTTCTCAGTTACTCTGGAACTTTAGATTGGGGGCAGGCAATTATTTTGGGTGGAGGGCCGCTTACTGAGTTTTGGCAAGCCATCGAGGGCTACATGGGTAGCCCCACCCCTTGATAGATGCCCTGCTCCCTAGTTGCCATCTTGGGGTCAAAAGTCCCACCCCCTAATTCCTGACCTTTGCCACTAGATGTCCCTCCCCTTGCCGCCCAGAAGTACTCCTTTGAGCAAAGGGATTTGCCATCTTGAAACCAGAGAAATACCAAATTATATTCTAAAAATCAAATGTACTACAAGATTCATTCATTTGATTTCAAAAAAATGTTTTGTCCTGATTTACGTACGTTTGTGTAGCGTACGTACAGGTGATGGTATAATAGCTTAAAATGAAGTCTTACTCTTGTATATTGTGGGTGGGTGGGTATAAGTTTGTGGGTGTGTGTGGGGGGGGAGTTTGTGGGGGTGGATGGTGTGTGTGTGTGTGTGTGTGTGGGGGGGGGCGGGGGTGTGTGGGTGGGGGGGGGGGGTGGATGGATGTGTGGGGTGCTGTGTGTGGGAGGAGGGTGGCTGGGGAAGACTGTGGCACATATAGAGGGGGAGGGTTTCTCACAGCCCCACCTCGTGCTGCTCCAAGCCTGGGCTCCGTGCTTCTGCCACTCCTGGCCCTGGGGCACGGGCTTGGGTGTGGGCCCTGTGCAGACGCTTGCAGCCACTTCCCTCCTCATTTGCCACCACTGCCCTTCTTCTGCCACTTCCCCGTCCCCCGCCCCCACTTGCCGCTCTGTCACCATGTCCCAGCTGCTCCTGCAGTCCTGGCACTGCAGCTAGGGACCATGTGGTACTGCAGCAGCTTGCCAGCAGAGAGAGGGAATGGAAAAATGGCTGTGGAAGGCAAAGGAATGGGCAGCGAGTGGGCATGCAGAGTGCAGCAACACCTGGGTGGGAGCCCGGGCCCTACACTGGTGCATCGGGGCCAGCGTTGGTGGAGTGGCAGAAGCACAGGGCACGGGCTGGCAGGGGCTCTATGGAGCTGGGCTGGGCTGCACCAGCAGGGATGGGGGACCCAGCCCAGCTCCATAAAGCCCTGGCCAGCAGGGAGACAGGAACAGCCCCAGGGGCCCAGGCCAGAAGCCCCTGGTAGGCAGAGGCTTCCGGCTGGGGCTGGGGCTGGGCCAGGCCCGCCTTGCTGCTCAGGCTGCTTAATCCTGGTGTCAACTCCACCTGGGTCCTACTGCCCCTGGCTCCTGTCAAAAGTAATAAATATTACTTTTCTAAATTTTTTAGGGGCCCCGCAGGCCGGATAGAATGGGCTAGTGGGCCAGATGTGGCCCATAGGCTATATTTTGCCCGCCCCTGCTTTAGATGCTTGCAAAGTTGTGTAGACAACAAAAGTTTCTGTTTGGTGATCAAATTGTACACTTTTAATTTGGATTCACTCAAAACAGAAACAAAATGTTTTGCTCTGTTTCTTGGCAATGTGATCCTTTCTTTGCCTTATTTTGAAGTGAAAAGTCAAAATGTTTTATTCTGAAAACTGTCAAAATGAAGTATATATATTTTTTTTTTTTTTTACTGGAACTATTTGCCAAATTCAACCTAAGTTTATAAATACTTTCAGTCCCTTAATGTGAATTTGGTTAACTTACCATTCACTGAAAATCTGACCAGGCCCTAGGTCTGTAGTCAGTACAGATTTTCACATCTACTATCCTTTTTAATGCAAATTTAGAAATCAGGAAGGCAAGAGGACCAACTATTAGATGATGGAAGAACTTACCTCCAACAACACCTACACCGACACTACTCCTTCTTGTGTTCATCGGAGCTACATGAAACCACTCATTAGTCTTTATGTTATAAGCTTCTACAGATGATAAACCTATTATTAAAAAACAGGACTTGTTTATCTTATGCAAGTGTAAGCAACATGCTAATTATATGTATCTTCAGTAATTTACCTCTTTAAGGGTCACAGTCATTTTTTTTCTTAAGACCAATTGGTGGCTAGGCAAATGACACAGGTATAATTTGGACAGTCCACAACAAACTCCAATGCTTCAAAATAGGTACACAATCTTTGTAGAGAGTCTGAAAAAAATCCTCCTTTGGAATTTTTTTTTTTAATTACATGCTATGCTGCTCCCCAGTGCATACACACATACTCTTTGAGTCACTAAATGTTAGGGACAAAGTTCAGTTTTGATATGGATAACTTAAGAGAACTCCAACAGCCCAAATCCCTCATACAGTTCAAACAATACAACATATATATATTTATTTCCATTAAAGAAAACATGCAAAAATGTATTCTATATACAAACAGGAAGGAAGCTTCTAGACTATTCTTCTACTCGTGTTTCATGGAATGGGGAGTGGGAGGATTTAAGAAATATAAGATGAGGAAAGAATCTGGCATCAAGTGGTTGAAGCATCATCAGGTCCTTTTGGACCTGCAGAGTAGCAAATGAGAACAGAGATTATGCTCCCACTCAGAACAAGAGAAGTGTTTAGACCACTTGATGCCAATATGGATTCCACTCTCTAAAAAACTAAAAGTGTCTTCTTGATGGTTTTCAACTCCATCTTAGTAGTCAAAACTGTAATAATCAGTACAGTACCATTTAAAGATAAAAATACCTGTACTCCCATCAAATCCTCCTACAGCATACAAGAGCCCATTTAATACAGCAGCTCCCAACGTGCTTCTCCTGTCTTGCATGTTAGCAACACTTGTCCACTGGTCCTTCACTGGATCATAGGAATCGACTGTGCGAACTCTTAAAGAGCCATTGAAACCACCAACAGCATAAACCAGGCCACCCATGTACACCATTCCTGGGGAAAAAAGTTAACTTCTTTTTATAACTGACTTTGTTCTGTACTGTGCTGAGTACATCAGTTTGTAACATAATATACAGCATGCATCACATTAACAGGTTTTTAGGAGTACTGAATGACAAATGTTATTTAGAGCAAATGTTAACATTTCTGATATTGCTCATTGTTAGGTGGCACCAAAATGTGAGCATTGACTTTTCAGATACATTACTTTAAATGGCATTTTAAAAGCAAATTGCTTTCTTACACAGTGGTTTCTTCATATTTTCTTAAAAAATGTTTTTTTAAAGCGTGAAGTAATGATGAACACTTCGCATGGTTTAGTTCCAGATGGACTGTTTTCTGATGGGGTGTCAGAACAACCCAGTTCAATTCTGAGGTGCACCAACACAGGGATCCAGTTGCTGCTGCCTCTTCTTCCTGCTGCCTCGCTCCAGCTCAGCATGGGCAACAACCTCCCCACCCCACAACATGTCAAAGTTTGATCTGGTCTGTGAGCTGTAGGCTACTGACCCCTGCTTTAGTGCACTTGCCCTTTGTATCAATATGTGGTAGTAAAAACACTATTCACAGATTGTGAACTGAAGACAAAAATCTTTGAACTTAGGTGGTTGAAAACCTAAGCATCTAAAGCCTTATTTAAAATAGCAAGCAAATACTTTGCATTTTAGAAGCAATAAGCAGCCATGCTTGCCACTCCCACGGAAGTCGAAGCTCAGCCCTTCTTATGGCCTGCCTTCAATTATGAAACCATATTGCTTTCTAATTCCAGAACAAACATCCTGCTTTATCTTATAGCATTGCCATTTAAGACAGTGTTATGCAGCACATACCTGCTCTACATCTTCTGGAAGGCAATTCAGCCACCTGGTGCCAGCGCTCTTCTTTAAAGTCATAGCATTCCACACTGCGGATAGCCTTTGGTGCCTGTCCTCCAACTACCATCATCAGCTAGGAGGGAAGCAATAACATTTTCTGCTTGTTAGCATATATCAGGATATTTAAAAGGCATAGTCTCTGGTACTAAAGAAAACAAACTTCTAGATAATACATTATCTTATTTCATCCCAATAAGCAACTAATATCCTAGTTTAACAGAAATACAAACATTTCAGAAAGATTTGTCATTTGGGATCCTTCCAGCAAAGAAAATATTTGAGGCAGAATTTTGTGAGTCTTATTGTAACCTGTCACATAGAAAAGATCTAGATTTTTCATAAGCTTAAAGATAGAGAGGACATATGGGGACAGAATCTGGTCTCAAAGGCAAGATTACCCCCCTCCATGTAAAGTCAATGGGAGTTGTGAATGTGTATCTGAAAGCAGAATCTAGCCCCTGATTTGTCCTTATTGAGATTTGTTGGTTGTAAAACATCAGTAAAGGTCACCAAAATGACTGACATCTTGCTCCTAATATTGTAATAGTAGAATTAGAACAATGGTGCAGAAATAGGACTTTTGTGCTTGGGCAGTTAGAAGAGACAGTCTAGTTACTTAACACAGCTGGTATTAGCTGAAAACAAATGATCTTATTATTTAAAATACTTCAGGTCATAAATTTAACCCAGGCTTATTTTCCCTCCAAAACTAATTGCAGTTGCTTAAGTGCTAAAGGAAGTACTATAATTTATCTTGTGCAGGACTGAAAACCATATAGTTCCATCATGTATTCTCCTTGAAGAGCCAAAAATATTGAGTTATGCATTTTATATTTCCCATTAAATTCCCACCCACGAGTTTAGGACCTGAGCTGTTACCTTGCTGCATACTTTTCAAGGATGAATAATTCTACAGAAAAAAATGTGCAAAGAAATACATTAGTTAAAAATCAATCTGGTGTTACCCATTCGCCCCATACATTAGATTTAAAAAAAAAAAAAAATCAAAGAAATGAGCATACTGGAAATTATGGCTCTAACCTTTGGAAGGCTAGCAGGTGTTCTCAGTTTAGTTCGAGTGCTTTTCATCAAGGCTCGTTGCTCAGTCGGCAGTAAGTGATACTTCATAGCTTCAATGAGGTAATCTTTACACGCACTGCTGTTCTTAACCAATGTTTCCTCTTCAACCCTCTGTGCATTAATATAAGTTTGACAAGGTCTGAGCATGTTAAAAAAGTAAAACACAAATCACAATTTAAAGTGCAATAAACCCACATGAGAACAAACTTAAATCACTCTGATTATTTAGATCATACCCCAGCCAGGGACATTGGTATCATCAAGCTCGTGATATGCAAAGTCCTTGAAAATAAAACTGGAAGACTACAGACCCTTCCAGTTGGTAATTGGAAGGCATGATATTAGGCCATGACAAATATTTTCAGCCCCTTTCCTGACAGTTGTTCAGATTTTAAGGATTTTCTAAATCACAATACGAGGACAAGAATTTGATGCATATAAGGTGCATAAAACAAAGAGGCTTCCATTGATGCTCAAGCTATGCCTACATAGCACAATGCTGTGTATGTCTCCAGTTCGTATTGTGTCCAGTTTTGGGCACCACACTTCAGGAAAGATATGGAAAAAGACCTATGGAGAGCAACAAAAATGATTAGAGGTCTAGGAAATGAGGCGCAGATAGTATAGCCAAGTTCAAAAAAGAACTACACAAATTCATGGATGATATATCTATTAATAACTATTAAACAGAACAGTCAGAGATGCATCTTCTAGTGGTTGCCAGGGAGCATAATGAATTACTAATTTTTCTAGATATACCTGGTTCAGTGCTCTCCCTCTAATGTGTTCACTTCTGCTAATGTCAGAGACAGACTACTGGGCTAGATGGACCACTGGTTTAACATAATATGGCACTTCTTCTGTTCTTATGATTTACAACAAAAGGCTGAAAGAGCTGGGATTATTTAGTCTGGACAAGAGGAGACCAAGGTAGATTTGATAACAGTCTTTCCACAGTGACAGACTATTCTCTGTGGTTGCAGGGTATAGGGCAAAGAGTAGAAGTCTTGAAATGCAGCATGGGAAATTTAGATTAGGTATCAGGAGAACTTTCTCACTAGAAGGGTGGTTAATCACTGGAACAGATTATGTAGAGACTGTGGAATCTCCATTCTTGGAGATTTTTGAGAAGGCAACATGGATGAGATGGTGTAGACAGGGATGATCCTGCCTCAAGCAGGGGATTGGACTAGATGACCGTCTGAGGCCCTTTCTAGTCCTAGTTTTTGAAGATTCTATGTAGCTTAGAGTAATGGATGCATAGGGATCCACCTGGACTAATAGGATGAGAACAAAGGTAAATTCATTCAGCGCTCTTCTGAGGCTAACATAGCCACTGGTGATGCGGCCATACTGCTTCCAATATCCAAGAAAGATTGTCTAGAGAGTTAGTTCAGGTATCTCAACATAGCACTGCATTGTGCTATGTAGACATATCCTAAATTCTAACGTTTAAACTTTGTAAGCTATGTTTAAGCTAAAATCCAGAAGAGATGGCTTAGCAAAATAACTGTTATAAGGAGTAATAAGAGTTTACATTACAATCAACCCTGAAGTCAGATTATTTATTATATTTACAATGTAAATTAAATAGTCATTTGAAACTATCAAGACAGCATGATAAGCTACCTGATAGTCAAATTATTCCTATGAACAACATCTTTATCATAAACTGTGACCAAATTTAATGGAGGCTAATTTTCAATGATTTGTTCCTTTGCATGATTATACTAGGTAATAATTGTGCCTTTATAATTTAGAATTGACCCTATGTGCCAAATAGCCCAGAGACAAACATGTATGCAAATTCTCATAAGAATTAGTATTTTCTTTTTCTTACCTGAACTAAATACTCCCGGGAAAGTAAAGGCAGCCGAACATGTTCCATCAGTTGTGCCATTAACTCCTGCCTCACATCTTTGTCGTGGTTTACCCATGCAATGACTGCTTCAAATACCTTCCAGAAAACAAAAAACATGCCATGAGTCCCCTTTGCTCCACAAAATCCAAGTGTGCCATACCAAATTTCACTTTGAGTTCCTGAAACAAATATAGGGCCACATTAAGTTGGCTACTCAAAATCTTTCAACAGATGTATCCAATATAAAATGACCTTAGCATGTAAGCCACTCTTTTTATATATGTACTTTTCTAGTGCCTTAATGAAAGCTCCAAATAAGTTACTACATTTCCAATTATTGTCATAATTGGGAAACATTAACAATTCTGAAGTTCCACATACTGACCAATGGGTAAAGATCCAATTCAGCATTGAGAGGGACATTTCCCCATGCTGTTTGAGATCATATAGTTTAAACCTACAATATATAATTAAGAGGAACTTTCTGACTATGAAGGTGGTCAAGAATTGGAACAGGCTACCTAGAGAAGCTGCAGAATCTCCATCCTTGGAAACTTTCAAAATCAAGTTGGACATACACTTGGCTGGGATGAATGGTTTAGTATGGGACAATCCTACATTGAGCAGAGGGCTGGTCTAGATGACCTAGTGAGTTCCCTTCCAGCCCTACTTTCCTGCAATCCCCTGCATGATATGCATTACAGAGGGGGGGCTTGATTCTCCCATTTCATTGTGGTATATAAAAATCAGGACATTAACACTTTAAATGCCTCTCTAAAGAGAGGATACTTTATAGGAGTCATGCATTTTTGTGTAGGGGAACACTAGACTTCCAAGGCATTGTGAAATTGCAACCTCCGATTGCAGTATCAGTTTTAAGAGGATGGCTGTGCCTCATACATAGGGATCTCTGTAAATTGTGCCACAAGTACCCCCTGCAGCAGCTCCTTTAACACTTTTCATTTTGCCACTTGCTGTCATTTTGTACAATGATCAGCAGAGAGGCCCCAATGGCCATCTCCTTTGCAACTTCTTTAAACGAAGTAAAGAATGGGACACATGACTTCAACATTAAATCAATCTACTACTTTATCTGGACAGTTGTTCCTTTTGCATTATCCAAAAGGTATCAAATACGTACTGATTTTTCAAATCCATTATACTGCAGCCCTGAGTTAAACACACTGCTAACTTACATGAAGTCTCTTTGTAAAGCAACTTTCACATACATGCTCCATCATTCACAGCACATACATACTGATTTGTTTTTCTTAGAGATGGGGATATTTACTTATTTTCCAGACAAGAGGTCAAATTGTTTCTAGAATCCTGAAGGGCAAGATACACATTTTAAAGTCTAACAATCAAACAACACTTTTTTCTGCAACAGTGCCTTAAGTACAATAGACACCATCTATGCTTAACTGATTGAAACACTTCACTAAGAGATTAACAATGGCATTCCTAACCAAATAAGTACATTGGGTCTCTGAAGAATTAACTGTTTTTTGTCTGGTCCAACTGTGAAATAAACATTATTGCATAGAATAAATCTTACCTTCTCTTCAGAGGCAATTGTAAGTTTGTCACTGGATATTAAACTGCACACCTGTTCTACACCAAGGTTGAGGAATTCTTCACTAAGTACGACATCAGAAAAATGCTGTTCTGTTTGGAAAAAGAAGATCTCTTTAGCCTCTATCACTGAATGCAGTTTATAAACAGCATTAACACAATGATACACTAATAAGCAGATTTGGTTAAATCCATGAAACAACAGATATTCTAAAATACTCTCTACTGTCTCAAGTTTTGTTCATATTCTGGCTGTCAGCCACAGGACTAAAAAGGCAATTCCCTGCTTTTGCTGGACTTGGTATTTCTTTGGCTTTCTGTAGAAAGTTCACTGTAAATCCCCAAGGATCCTAAATTTGGTCCTACAACAGGAAAGATATTTTCTTCATTTATAGCTATTTAAAAATAATTTTTAAATTATAAGAACCATGTTGCCTTGTAAGATTACTATAATATATACAAATTCTGTCAATTAAATAAAATATTGCATCAGTAAGTGCTGTTGCTGAGACATTAAAGAAAACTGAAGCAACATTTAAAGCTGACATCCTGATAGAATTAAAAAACCATTGAATCTTGTTTTCCTCAGTTCTCTGGACAAATCCTCGCATGACTATGAGATCCACCTTAATTCCTCAAGGAGAGATTATCAGAAATAGTAAGTTCATTTCACTAAATACAGGTGGCACATCAATTTTTAAGTCAATTTTAAAGGCCAAACATGTTCTGGATCAACTAATTTTCATGCTTGTATAATACAGATGTTCACTGAAAACAACTTTAAAGTATTTTGTGCATTTAAAAGGATTCTAGTTCCTAATCATGCACAGCTTGACATACAAGTAAAAAAAAAAAAAAGAAGATAATTTAGTAAATAAAAGTGTTATCCACCACAGTCTAACCTAGTAATATAAAAGTTAAGAATAGGTATATTGCTTAAATAAATGTACACAGATACAGTATATCCTCCCGGTTAGCAAAAAGTACCTGATTTAGGATAAATTAGTTACAAGTTAAACAAATTCATGTTTTAGTGGCTGCCAACTGATAAGAAATCAACCCGTTAAGGAAAGTAACTAAAAAGTGCTACTTCAAAATAAAATAAAAGGTTAAAATTAAGGATTCAAATCATAATTCAAGTCAGAGATTTAAACATCTATTTAAGTCAGGGAGGGCAACATTTCCCTTAAAAATCAGGCCTTCTATCATTGCAGCATATCTCATGTCCTCCAGCACTTGGCTCATGTCAGTGACAGCCATGGCAATTAGCTTTGAGCCTATTTTTAAGGCACCCATGGCTAGGTACAGGGGTGGAATCGATCTAAGTTACGCAGTTTTCTGTAAGTAGCATAGTTTAGGTCAGTAGCAAAGAGAACAGACGCTCACCTTTGGGGGGGGGGGGGGGAGAAGAGGAGTGTAAATCTCAGACCAGATTTCACCATTTTTAAACTAGTCTATGCATGCCAAACATCTGTTCTGTTACGGGTACAGACCAGTTTCTGATCATTTAAAAGTATAATGTCTATACCTGACCATTCTGGGCTATAGTACTGTATTTAAAACTATCAAAACTTCTTGGTTTTTTATTTAATCCCTTTAAGGAGACCTGATTCCGTTTCACATGAGGAAACTACAGTTAGTAAATGGTGCTCACAAGTTTACCACTTTGTTTTTGAGCCATTACTGGAACTTTTCCCCCCCCCTTCACTGAAAATGCAAAGCACTCTGGTTTTAGGAGACTGTAAAAGGACTCAAAAAACCTTTCCGTGGTTCCTAGTAATTCTTCTCCATATGCTTGGGTGGTATACCATAATTTTTGTTATTTATAGACTACTACCTACTAACCCACATTTAGAGTGATTCTGACTGGGTGTTGACATCTGGAGCTTAAAAAGTTTGCAATATTTTTCTTATGTACATGTAATCTTAATCCACAATCAGAACTGAAGTTCTTAGAAGGGTTTCAAGGGATCAGAGGTGGCTCCCAGTGTTACTGACATATCTTATGAAGCACATTCTTCTAGAAATCATCAGAGTCCTTCTATTCCTGTTCCTATGGGCTCAAATCCTATACCACTATACTTGACAGTGCTGGCAAAGGACAGGCATTTTTTTCTTTTTTTGATACGGAAAGGTGATACCCTCGGACACATGCAAGAATGATTTCCAGTATGGCTGATATGGCCAACGTGATTTATTACAGGCAAACTAGCCGGGTTAGGACTTAAGGCAGTGGTGTTCTGACCATGAAGTTCCTAGAACTCTCCTGTCTTCTCTTCCTTTTGGGTTGTTTTCCAATGGGTTTTATGCTGGCAAGATGGAACAGTCAGCAATGCTGAAATGGAAATATCTCCCTTCAAAGTCAGTGGTCCCAAGTGAGACCAATGAACTGCATGGCGACAGTACCAGTCACTTCTTCAGGATCAATGTGATGTTCTTCCTCGACTCCATCAAAGGCTTGCTACTAGGTCTCTCATTCTGTCCTACCAACTAAAGTCTCCGTCATGTGAGTTGTTCTGTGTCTTCTCCCTGGAACTTTCTATCTTAGAACTTGACTTGTGCCAGCAACACAAGTCAGTGTGCAATTTACAAACAGGTGCAGGTTTTACAGAGTTGGGGCAGGCAGTATGGAAGTACTACAGGGTAGTCCGTACTAATGCCAAGGTGCTCAATAATAAGGCTGATGATGCCAAGTTAGCTAGTACTGGGACTGTCAACACCAAAGACTTTTACACTGAGAAAGTCATGACAGCATCAGTGACAGCAACTAAACCAGTGGGCTCTTTGCCTTTGTTCCATGACTCCCTCAAGCTCCCTTTATGCTCTGGGCAATGCAGTTTTATCTGACTTTAGTCATATCGACTTGTCCCCTCTGGGAACGCCACAGTTGGCGTTCCACAATGAGGCATAGCAGTTAGCATCAAGCAACTTGTGCTGTATGACATCCATCAACTTTTTCCCCTTTTAAGGAACATTTTTTAGGGAAAAGAGTGAAGATAGAAATCTTCAAATGGGTGGAGAGAACTGGTTTAGAGGCTCTGCTAAAAGTAGACTGGATTAGATGCTTGCAGTTAGGAGTGACAAGAAACAATTAAAGCAGGCTCATAGATAGCTAATGCATTTGTTAGGCCCATGCAAAACGGCATGTGGCAGCAGAGGGTCCACGTGCAGCCTAAATAACCACAGCAATTGGGGGGGAAAAACCCCAATGTCCTGGATATTACATGCACCTACAGCAGGACCCCCACCCTTATACACTCAGCAAAAGACAAATGTTTTAACTCAAACCTTCCAAGCCATTTTCTGGAGTCGTCCTATTGTGCTCTAGCTGTTGAAACAAGAAACCTCAGTCACAGTTACCTCCTAAAGAAACAGAGCCATATAAACACTTATAATTTATCATAGAACATAGCCTCATATACCATATTTTCACAGATGCAAGATGACTGAATTTAGGACAAGCCCCCAATAATCAGATTCTATACATGGAAAATTCTATAAATTTGTTATAATTTTCCATATATAGAATCTAATTATTGAAAGGCCATCTTAAATTCTTCTGTCTCCTGTTGCTACAGTGGGGAAAGCAGTTACAGGGGGGCAGGTGGTGGGGAGCTGGAGCCCAGGCCAGAGCTGCTGCTACCGCTGCGACTGCTAGTGAGCTGGGCTGGGGCTGGAGGAACCATGCGCTCCATCCCCCAGGCTGGAGTGGGGCCAGAGCCCTGCCAGAGCCACAGAGGGTAAGCAGCAGCAGCAGCAGCGGGTGTGGGATGTAGCAGAAGGGGATGGGTGGGGGCAGTCAGGCAGGGAGCAGAGACAGAGAAGGAACAGGTAGTGGCTGTGCCTCTAATTTTCACCCTGACTTGAAACTGTAACAGCCGCTTGTCCTCCCCCTCTCCCCCAACTTGCACCAACTCCAAAATGAGGGGTTCCCCTTCAACATGAGGTGAAGGTCATCTTGGATTTGAATAAACGCAGTAGTTATTGGAAATAATTTCCTATCAATAATTCCTAAAAGACAAATACAATAAAAATTAAAAAAAAAAAAATTAATTCCTTATATTAAGCGGCAGAAAGTAAAAGACCTTTCAGAGAAGCAGATAAATTAAAACTAAATTAGTAAAATGTAGACAGTATAATACTACATGTTTTATATATATTGCCATAGATAAAAATGTTTAAAACAAAGAATGCTAAAGGGTTCTAAGTTGAGAAGTCTGATTTTTCCAAGCACATATCATCATTCATCACTAATGTATTAAGTTACGGCCTGAGGATGAATCTGCATTTTACACACATTTATTTTATACTCACATACACACACTGCAACTTTTTCTAGATATAACCATTTCTATTCTTTATATAAAGATGTATTATTTATATAATAGTAGGCAGCAGCAGCACTGTAAACAATTCCACTGAATGTGTTCTTGTTTTTTGTCTGTAATACTAGAATGATAAAAGCTCCCAGTCTACCTTCTATATACCACTTGTTATATTATATTCCTCTCATATCCCCTTTTATTCAGCACCCAACTAATGTAAAAAACTCTCTATTTTAATCTCTCCTCATATGACACTTTGACGCTTTTTATATAAGCGTTACTTTCCTTCTCTGAACTCCCTAGAATTCTGTAAAATGAGATGGAAGAGATCATTTCTTTATATAAAAACTTTCCTTTTTTCCATATTATTTTCTATCCTGCTCCCTATGCATCATAAACATATTCTAACCACAGATGCACACTGAACAGGCCTTCATTGCTCTGTCCAGAATGATGCTTAGTTCCTGTTGCCAAGTTAGTACTGTACCAATATTAATATACTGTATTTTTTTTGCATACAATACGCGTTCCCCCCCCCCACCAAAAAACGCACTTTGGTTTTGGAAGAAAGAATGTAGAAACGATTTTTCCAGAGACATGGCTGATTACATAACAGAGTAAGCCCTCTTGGGAACACAGAGTATCCAGAAATTATGACATCCTAGAAAGACAGTTTGGGCAAAACAGCAGGGACTGCCACACAGACCGTTTCCTAGGATGCCATACTTCCTGGAAACCCTATGTCTCCTAAAAATCTTACTCAGTCAC